AACGCGGAGACAAAACAAAACAAAACGCCGTTCACGAATTAGAAGCACAAAACGAGGATCTGTAAAGAAAAATGTCGGAGGATTTCGATATAAGCCAAGAGGAGACCAAGAAAGGAATCTTTGCTTCCTTTGCTCCTGTAAACAAACATTGGTTCTCACGAGACTAGCATGCTCACACCAGCACATACGCTACGCATACGTCCTACGTCGGTTTCCATGTACGACAGTTACCGGAAGTAAAAGAAAACTGTTTATAACGTTTTAAATATGTATATTTTTCTTACAAAACCGAACTGATTCGCTACAGGAGGCCTTTATTCACCCCCCGGAACCGTGTGAGGCACGTTTTATTATGGATGGATGCGCTTTATTTGGCTTCTTTTGGACTGTTGACAAAAATCACCTATTCACTGACATTATAAAGCTTGAAAGAGCCAGGACGTTTTTTAATTTAACTCCAATTGGATTCGTCTGATTCTGAAAGAAGAAAGTCATATAAACCTAGGATGGCTTGAGGGTGAGTAAATGATGGGCTAATTTTCATTTTTGGGTGAACTAACCCTTTAAGGACAAAAACCTGACTTGTTTTTTAATAATTCAGTGGCATGTCAACAAATAATTTCCTGATATATTTGTAAATATCTGGCATAATATAAGTTACAATGCCTTTTTTATGGTTTAATGTTAAAGACAAACAGCACTTGATTCTTATTGATGGGGCTCTGGGAGTACATAAGACAAAAAAGTTTGGAAACACTGCATTAAAAATGTAACCTCTTCTCCACATTTTGAAATGGCAGAACAATACATGTTACATAGTATGTGAAAATAATCTAATGTACCATTCCCCAAAAAATATTTAATAATATGAATACTTTTTTTCAGGCACTGTACAAGACTGACATTGCAGACTCCTATAGAGACTGCGTTGCACTCTCACTAGGTTGCTACAACATGCAGACCCTTTCTCCAGTGTTGCTGGAGCTTTGAAACATGGGTGACATCTTGACTTAGCAGAGCTCTTCATACATTCTGGATTCGCCTAGACAACAAACTGGTCTGCGACTGCAGCCTCAAGGTTAACCTGTTACTATGGAAACAAGTCAGCCAATAAAAAAACAGCAGACGGTTGCTATGTTGACTGCACCCTTTTTGTTTTAAGGATGACCTATTTTTTTTTTACAGAGCAAGTCAGATGCAAGCTTGTGACACTCTCACACATAAACACACAGGGACACAGTAAGAGAGTTAGGAAAGCAGGTTACACTTTTACAAACACAATTTCATATGTTCTGATAGAGGATTTGAATTAAATAAATAAAAATCCTATGACCTCCTCCATCTGTTTGTAATGTAATCTTACTGTGAAATGCGATGAGATTTTGTCTCAATGGAGGGGAATTCTTAAATACCATACCATGACAGTGAGGCAGTTGTCATAGGAACAGCATGTACCACAGTGAAAGGCTGATGTGACTGCAGCTTCAATGGCTAATTAGGGTAAACAAAGAACTCTAATGCAATCCCTCATCTACCTGAGTGTATAAACTAATCAAAGCCAGTTTAATCCGAGCCTAATCATATCCAGATTTAGAATGAAAAATGTCCTCTGGAATATTTGCTGAACCTTTTGCATTGATGCCTACAGACATCACAAAATGCAAATCTAACACAGGCGCACATCTGTTTCTTTTCGAAGTCAGTAAGTCGGAGGAGCAATACTTGCCTATGCGAGATCTCACATCTGTGAACATCTTTGTTGCTGTAAAACTCCATTGTTCTTTTTAAATAACCTTATTAATACTGAACTAAGAAATATTTAATTCAGGTTTAGTTCCTCTTTTGCCATTCATTTGTCCCCAGAGACAGAAATATTTACTGTAAACAAATCTGCAGGTTCTTACAGGTAACAAAAAATTTTTTTTTCATTAATTAATTTTTTTTTCTGAACAAGCAAAACACCTGAAATCTGATTAAAATGAGAATTTAAATGCATCTTGGTATGAGTGATCAGATTTCATGTTTTTCACGTTCTTCACCTTTGCAGGTTCATAGCCCTCAATTAACTGTGGTACTTGCAAATAAATATTGCATATTCTACCCTTTCTGATTTTTATAGCTGTTGTCTGCGACAGATATGTTCAGATATCTCAGATAGAGGTACTGCACTAATGAAACAGCCTTAGAGAAACATCCATTACTGAAATCTTGTGCATGGTTTTTGTGTTGTTACTCTGACAACCAGTGTGGATGTACAATGATCATATAAATCCAAAGTTCTGTCATGAAACTCTAGATGGCGAAGTCCGATACGTCTAACTCCTAATGACATCATCACATGGTACAGCTGATTGGTTCTTTTTGTATCAGCAGCCAATGAGCTTGCTGCTCAACATTGAAATACTTGGCTAGTGCTTGCTGTAGCAATTGCAGCACGCTTCAGATACACTTCACCTTCCCCAGCTCCACCTGCTATGGGGTAATTCAGGTATGCTATATATGGGGGCTATTTCATATATGTTATGTGTGCAGCAGCAGTATTTCTTACATGCTCACAGCAGCATGTTGTGTTTCGGTACTTGCTCTGCCACAGCAGCGTATCAGATCTATTCCACCAAGACCAAAATCATTAACATTGTCATGTACATTACCATGCCAAACCCTCCGAGAGTTTTCATGATAGAACTATATTAGCACTACACGTGTTTACCAAAAAAAAAAGGTTCCTGTAAGTGTCCACCACAATCTCAAGGCAATTCATAAGTATTTCAAACTATAATTCATATGAATTCTTACAATCTCATTCAAGTTTTCATCGAATCTGCTTACGTCATTGATAATTAAGTTTAGAGGTTGGGTTGGGGCAAACCTTCATGCTTTTTTCAAAAGTGTACGTTTTCATACAGATCACATCATACAAATTCGGATGTAATTGCCACCTTGTAAAATTGTAAAATTTTTCTGTGAGATCGGATTGTCTGAGCACTTAGTGGTTAGAGAATTAATAAATGGCTTATTGCGAGCGAGAAAACACTATGTAAATGGTATATGCTTTGTGTTTTTTGAAGTGCTACTTTATTTAAAAAAGTATAAACTTGACCCGACATTTTATGAATAGTCATTTTGATATAAAAACATTACAATCTTTTGCACATTAGTACTTAATTACACAGCTTTAATACACACCACCCTGTTGTTTGATAAGCAAACACACGACATTAGCTGCCACACTAAACTCAACTGGTCTTTGAGATACACAGTATAACTAAAATGATGTGGAAAACAAAAAAATCCCAAAGCACATAATCAAAACTCACAGAGATACTGCTGAGATAATTTTTCACCAGAGAAAAATCATTTCAAATGGACAACCAGTAAGAAACAAATACTTTCAGCAACACCAAGAGCAAATTCCCTCCCCCCGTTTTCTTCTGTAATTCTTCTTGTAACATATTTACAACATTGCACCAACATTTGATAGCAACGAGGGCTTAGACAAGCGGTTTGATTATATTTAGTTGACCTGAGCCCCTTTTTGTGTGCTCCAGCCATTTGGGATAATTTAATCCAGATCACATTAGCATCAGATTCAAAGACACCAAGAGACAGCAGCTATAGTCCACATATCATAGATATTTTGACATTGTCCACTGGTGAAACTTGTCACTATCTGGCCATAAAATCCCAAACCCCCCTCCCATAGACTTACACTAATTTTAAATCGCTTAGTCATTGTACCTTCTTTTTTTTTTTTTTTTTTTATCTCCCGTTATTTTCATGTAACATACAGGAGATTTTTGCAGCAATCTAATGTATGTGATTCCATTCAATCTGATCTGGACATACATGGACGAGGGATTGGGAAGGGATTGTCTATGATACATTTCTTCTGACCAATTGTGTTATATTCCTAACTGTCCAGTTTTTTTTAGAAAGTCCTCCTCGAGTCCTCATTGGTCTCCCTCAATCCTGAAGCAATTCACTTTGTGCTCTTTCTCAGATGAAGAAAAAGGCATATAAATCAAACAATCCACCGACAACAGCAAGAAATAAACCATTCTCTGATACCACAGGACAGTGCTAGTTTCACTTATCTTTCTTTTCTATTTTTATCCCTTTACAAGGGTATTTCTTCTTGAAAGCATGCATCTTTTTAATCAGGCAAAGTGCATAAACAGTATTGACAAAGAAAAACACTTACTTTACCACACTGAAGTGCTGTGGTGACTTGTGTGACAGTTTGAATTGATATATGACCAAAACAAGAAAATAACATGAAAAGACATTGGGGGTCTCTTGTGAGATATGTCATAACGTTTTGTGTGCAATTATTTCATATTTTTGTTCACTGTCCCTGAGCTTTTGCTAATTCTCTCCATGATCTTGCTTTATTGACAATTGCAATTTACCATCTATTACTTTAACAGATTTTAAATCTAGTACTCTTCAATTTCAGAAGGGCACTGTCTCAGACAGACAACATGCTAAGCATGAGATATTTGTGCTTAATAAGAAAATACTTTCTTGGCGTACAGGATCTGTTTGACCAATCGAATTAGAATCTTTATTTTAGCTCTAAAATTGATTAATTTTTTACATAAATAGAGGCGTTGACTTTACAAAAATAGGGCCATGTGTTTCCTAAAGCTTTTAGGCAATAGATAGCTTTTAGCCATTTTAAAATAGGATCAGCTCTTCTATGAACAGATTAAATAAAGGCTTTAGTCAATATATGATATTTTGCTTGGCAATAGCTTTTGATTGACTTTCTAATAATGTTCACTTTCTGTATATTCATTTTTTTTTTTAAACTTTGCTGAGGGCATCTAACCAAATTATAATTTTTTCTTATTTTCAGAGGGCCACGGGAACACAATTAAACTGTGCTTCTTAACAAGTTCTATTTGTAATAGACTTGTGCTCTATTTTTCCTACTTTGGGATTTTCTAGGCATCAAATACAAGTTTGACCCGCAATTCCGATGGTCACTTTGTCCTTAACTACAGCATGTAATGACAAAAAACAAGAACTTCCTCTATAGGAATGCTACTGTCGGGTGTGATATGTCGTGGCTGGTGACTATTTTTCTTCTTCGTTATAGAGGAATGTGATTAGGTGAAATCATTTCTTTTGGATTTTCACGTAAGCATTCTATCGTTTTGTGCTGCGAGAATACTGACCTTTAACTAGACTTACAAAACTCAATTAATGCTCAACTAATACTTGGAACCCATGTAAAATATATAGCAGTGGCACAATGCGCGTATCCCATTGGGTTACGACACGCTTACGTGTCCCCATTCAAGATTCAAGCCCCAAGAGAGCAAAAGTTCCCTTCCCCAGAGAACCCCCTACAGGCCAGTGACATACATCTCCATGCCGTCATTAAAAGTAAAGATGGTGGTTGTGCTGGAGGTGGCCGAGCCCTGCTTCAGGTCAGGGATGCTCTCATACAGGCTCTCCCCTGGAATCAGCATTGTTTTGGCTGGGAGATGCTGCAGTTTGGGGGTCTGCTGGGGGGGTGGAGGGGGTGGCGGTGGTTGTTGCAAGGGTTGCTGGGGCCGCTTCCGCTTGGGCCGCAAGGTGGCACTGGCATTGGGTGGAGGCCTGTCACGCATCCAGCCTCCCCCACCCTCCATGGTCTCGTAAGCCAGGTCTGTTTCCTCAGTGCTGATGGCTTCGTAGCAGTGGTCCTCCATACAGCCAGGTGGCGCTCTCGTGCCTTTGCCCTCCTGTGGGGCCCACGTTTGGGGTTTGACTACCACGCTGAAACCCCCGTCACGCTCACCGCGGTCACCTCGAGCCAAGGTCCTATAGCCGCTGATGTCCCTTGTGGCGGTGGGCGAGCCAGGCATGCCTCGCTTCTTTTTGCCCGGTTTGCAGACTTTCGAATACATCTCTGTGATCTACATGATAATAGAGAGACAAACCATCTGAAACATATTCATGAGTGGAAAATCTGTGTATATATCTTACACTCCAAAAGTTTGCTTTTCCAGTTCCCGCTGTCTGATATGCAACAAAAACAATCCGGCCTATTAAGAATACACAATTGTGGGTTTACAGCTGCTTCTGGTTAACTCTGAAATAGTGTTTATGGGTAAGGAAGTACTCTGGGATCATTCACAGACAATGTTTCAAGAATGTATAATACCTAGAAGACATTTTGACTGCATAGAGAAATAGAGGATGTGTCAAGACTGGAAAACTAAATGCACTCACCCCTGCTGCAGATGCTGCCATATTCTCTCCTGCATGAGAGCTCAGAATACCCATCTGCTTGTGCTGGAAGATAATGTCATCGTCTTCCGGAGGTTTCCATATGTACTGTTCTCCATTTCCCATAAACACTGCCTCCTGATATATTAAAAACAATTGACTAGAATAAATATTACATGACCTTTTAAGGGGCCATCTTAAATAATATATACTGGAGAATAGAGCTGTGTAGAACAGCGTCATGAAACAGCATCAACAATGCACTCCGAGGGCAGTTCAGGGGTTTAAAGCAGTAGTTTTAAACAAATGGTTTACCCATAAAATGAATTCTGTCATAATTTACTCACTCTCATGTTGTTTAAAATCAGTATGAGTTTATTTCTTCTGTGGAAGATTACGGGGCTTTCAAAATGGAAGCTTCAAAAGGTGCAAAAGCAGCATGAAAATACCATAAAATTGTCCATACAAACTGTGTGCAATATTCAGTCTTCTTGATGTCTTTGTGTGAGAAACAAATTGAAGTATTAGTCACTCATAAAAGTCACATCGAAGAACTGGATGTGTTCAATTTGTGAAGAAAGCATTCAGACTGGTTTTGTTCTATTATATTTACTTCTATTATATTGAAAAAAGCCAGGATATTGTTTAAAAATTAACCTTTGATGATGGATTAATAGAACGTTAGATGACAGTTTGATAGATTATTAGACAGACTGACAGAACGCTTAGATAGTTTCACAGTCATACAGTTAACCAGTTGAGGAGTCAGTTAAAAACTCTTCTCCCTGAAAATAAGCCTATGTAGCACAATCAGGCTACTGTCCCCCCTCTTAATGCCTGCCCTCATGTCTAACCATCTTCTGCATCTAATGATATTGAGCTTAATGTGTTTCCTGTACTCGGGCGTAAGGGAACAGGCTGATGCTTGCTGTGCATTTTCTCCTCATTGTTATGCAGGAGAAACAGAAGGTGGGCAATGGGGTGTGTCACAGCGCCATTTTTAAGGCAGGGATTAGCATGTTGTTGTAGCTTCTTTCGTTCACCATAGCAATTCACTTTGTCTTCCATTACGACTGGCCCATTTTCTGGGTCTGGCTGTTTGCCTGGGTTTCGGTGATTGAGAGGTTTCACTCCGTGTTTCCGTTGGTTGCATCATCCTCATAGTAAAGTGCCTGTGAGTGTGCAACACCCCGAATGCTGTGGATGGACCACTAAACGCTTACAAGTATCATTGATTTGGACAATGTTCTCACAGAGAAAATAATGAAGTACACTTGCAGTGTACTTAATTGCAGATCCATTTTAGTTGCAAGTCCACACAAGTGCTGAGGCACACAAAAATAGGGGAAGCCATTTCCAGCATGCTTCTATTTATAATATGTTCCATCTTAAGACACAATTTAAAGCACAATCGCAAATTACAGCAAGTCGAAGGCTTTTAGTAGTCATGAAAGGACAAATAGTTTCCATCAGCAACAATGCTCTCAAGCACCGCAGTAGTGCTTTTTACATTTGTAGCCTCAGCTAAATCCCTGCCGTTGCAGTGCTATGAAATACTGAATTACACGAGCGCTGAATGTATGTGAAGAAGTGCGCCATTCAGAATTGAATTGAAAATACCCTTTAAATTACTGTTTTTGAATTACAGAATTTGAATTAAATTTGAATTGAGGCACCAAACAGGATACAGAATTGCATCCAAATTGAATTTGAATCCAAGGAAGTCGAATTAAAATTAAAATTCAAAGAAACTCATGAGATTGTAATTTTAAAAAATGATTTATTGTTGCTGTTATTGACTTTATTATGACAGGACAGTAGCTAGACTGAAAGCGAAGTAAGAGAGAGGGGGACCGGATAGGTCCACAAGCTGGGACTTGAACTCGGGACACTCGAAGTGCAACGGCATTATACATCAGTGCACTGCCCACGAGGCTATAAGTGCTGACTATAAGATTGTAATTTTTAAAGCTGCAGTCCGTAACTTTTTTTAGTTAAAAATGATCAATATACTCACAACCCACGCAAGCTAGATAATTCCGCACACAGCTGCAATTCCAGGTTTTCAAACAGAGATGGCGACAAAGAGGCAAAACTTACGGACTGCAGCTTTAACTAAAAAATGTTTGAAATAATAAACTTTGAATGTCAATCTTGTTTGAAGGTTTTGAAAAAAGTTTTGAAAGCTTTATAGGTCTTACAGATAGATAGATAGATAGATAGATAGATAGATGATACCTACCTTAGGGAAACATGGAAGATTGAAGGCCTCCACGTTTTTCCGAGGAATCTTCTGACTGTGTGGGTGTGTTGGAGGCGGGGCTGGGTGAGTGGGCGGGGCATGTCGAATGTCCCCACTGCTGTGTCGTTGTTGTTGTCCGAGCCCCTCCTCGGTCTCCGTCCCATTGTCCCTCTTCTGTGCTGCTTTGTCCACTCTCCGGACCTTTCTGATGCAGGCGTACTCCACTGTTTCCTGTGGTTGAGGGGGCGTGTTTACCACCTGGGGGAGGGTCTCTGGCTCTGGAATCCCGCCCTCCAAGCAGTCCACGTCGGGATCAGGTGGAGCAGGGGTATTAGCAGGGACCGCCGGTGGGGCGGGTGTGTCCGTCTCTCCAGCTCGACCTCCAACGCCATACCGGGCATCCTCAGAACCGCGTGTGGGAGAAGAGCGGCGGCCCACCTCGGCGTACGTGTGTTCCCCATCCTCACCAGAGGGGATCTGAGGCAGCTGGCGGCCCTGAGAACGCAGGTCGGAGTTTGAGCGACGGCTAGGAAGTAGGAGCAGATCCATGCTGGCAGGACGGTTCTTCTTAGAAGATTCTACAGAGAGCAGCATGATATAAACTAAAATCTGAGATGCAAAACCATTGTTTTTTCAAAGAGACAATAAAAAGATTTGCTCGAAACTGCAGAGGCAAAGGGCAGCAGACACATGCCAATCACTATAGATATAGATAGATATCTACTAATAGCCCCTATGGAAACTCCTGAAACATAGCTGGTACCATGCTCAGACCTTCCCCCCGAACTGCAGGTATATGTGAGGAACTAGAGACTATCGAGCTTTAAGAGATGTGATTGTACAGTACATACTCTTGCCATTGCAGTTGAGTCTGTTCATCTCATGAAGCTTGGTGTCTGACTTACTGATGGAGGTCAGCTTGGACTGTCGCAGTATACTCTGAAAACAGATGCACAGATAAACTGCTTAAAATGTATTCAAATAAAACAGCATAACCAATACAACAACTAAAAATTCAATTTTCTTATTCAGCCTACATTGGGCATATTGTTGGGTCAAGCAAGTACATGGCAATATTAATAGATTCATGTTTGAAATTATTACTTCTTACTGTTGTATGTTATTTATATTATTGTGTACTATGCTGGGTCACCATCACTGCTTGATATCCAAGGTAAAATCAGGGTAAAACAGTTGAGGAATGTTCTAGGTGACAAAAAAAAATACATCTACATTAGGGTGTCATACAACGTGGGATGCTAAAATAGTGAAATGGGCCAAATTCTTTTGTTTTAGATTCGAAGCTTAAGAGATCCATTCAAAGTTTAGGTCAGATCTATTTCCACTGAGCCGATTAAGAAGATTAATTAAATTCAGGAGGAGAAACAAAACCATGAACTGCTTGAACTGACATGGAACTGAGCCCAGACCTGGGTTCCTTAGAAAATACAGAGAAAAAGAGGGAAATTATTTAGAAGAAGAAGAATGGGTTTCATTCACTAGCAATGTGTACACACGTAATTGTGCATAAAAACTTATGTGTGAATGTTTTCATGCCGAAATCGTGATTTATCAATAAGGTTTCTCTCTGAAGATTACTTTAGGTTATCCTTTTTCTCTGCTTATATAAATACAAAAGTTTGGGTTCAGTAGGATTTAGTTTTTTAAAGAAATTAATACTTTTAGTCAGCAAGAACACGTTAAATTGCTCAAAAGTGACAGTAAAGAAATTTATAATATTACAGAAGAGTTCTATTTAAAATAAATGTTGTACATTCCATTCTAAGTTTTCAACATTGATAATAAGAAATTTTCCAGTGCACCAAATCAGCATGTTAGAATGATTTTTGAAGGATCATGTGGCACTGAAGACTGCAGTAATGGCTGCTGAAAATTTGGATTTAAATAAATCAAAACAAGTTGTCTTGTTGAGAATGAGAGGCATTTTTTCAAAAACACCAACTGACCCCAAACTGAACAGAAATAGGCTATATACAGTATAGTGTGTGTGTATATACTAACAGATAACTTAATGGATGAAGATATGTTTGAGAAATGGCAGTACAAGCTGTGTGCAATTATTAGTGAATGACACCCAATGAGAAAATGGAAAAAAAGGCAGCAGAAGAAAAGAGACTTAAAAATGCTCACCATGTCCATGAGCCTGTGCTTCCTCTCCTCTCCAGGGCCACTGTGCGTCTTCCCCTTCCTGCAAGACACAATCAGCGAGATGTAAACCACGCTGTTCCAAATCGAAAAAATTTAGAATGTTAGGTTCAAACTTCAAATGCTCCGTTTACCCAGTGATTTATGGAGACTGAATGCGCTGACTCATTTGAGCCCCTGATTCAATTTACTTTAGTAGCTCCAACTGTTTATCTTGTGCAGAAAGAAAATGCACATTTCAATTCAATTAGGCTACTCGAAGGATTCAAGGCAGTTGTTTTTTTATAAACTGTTTGAGTGAAGTCATTTGATCAGAAGTAACCGTGCAAGTGCTTTCAAGATGCACTGTCCTCAAAATGAGTCCAGATTGGCATTTGAAACAACAGAAGGCTTTCACTGGATGATTAACAGGCCTCTGAGTAACTGCAGCGCAATTGTGTTCAGGCCAAATCTCAGCCACAAAGAAAATCAATCAAACAATCAACATAATACAATTCAAACATCACTAAAATAGCTAAATGGATGCTGAGGATAATTTTCTTCATGAGAAGACAAGAAGTAAACATTCATGTCTGTCAGTGACTCAAGAATCTAAACTTTCCTCTCTTACACATACACAGGGCCCTGATCCAGACCCATTGCCCGGAATGTTTGGCCAAATTTGACCAGACATCTGTTTATGTCAGTCGTTCCCTTCTGATTGCTTGCATTGCTTTGATAAGATTACAGGAACAGTGTAGGTATCTGAAATCTGCCGACCAGCAGAGCGAAATGGATACAAAGTAAATTTTGTAAAGTACTAAAGCTATTACTGAATTTCCCATGAATCACTGATATTTGTTTTTTAAGACATAACCGAATAAAAAAACATTAGTATATCACACAAGAACATCTAGCCTTCTCAAAAACTTTTTGAAATAAATATACACGTACAGCTTCTTAAACCCATTAGTAAATATACTATGCTGAATATTTCAGATCTAATAATATGATAAATGATGTGGAAGGTCAGTGAGGAAGAGTGACCGTATAACCTTGAATTTGGCCTTGAAATGGACAGTTCACCCAAATAAAAATTCTGATTTACCATGTAGTTACAATAAATGGGAGATTTCAAGCTTCAGAAATGATGCAAAAGCATCATAAAAGTGGCCCATACTACTAACACACTATATTTCATTGCCTTGTATGACAAATAGGCCAAAATTTATCATCTTCCCCATCAGTGGTCTGTTAACCACTACAAAAGAATCACTGAGTAAGTGACTATCTGTCTGTGCCAATAGCCTCATGGGTAGCGTGCCAACATATGGCACAGTTGCACTTCAGGTGTCCCAAGTTCGAATCCCACCCTGTGGACTTTTACCGATCCCATCCCTCTCTCTCTCTCCCACCCACTTCCTGTTGGATCGCAACTGTCCTACCAAGAAAAATGCAAGAATGCCAAAAAAAAAAAAGAATAACTAAGTCTCTAGATGTGTTTTCATTACCCTTCAAATTGCACAAATTGAAATTGTGAATTGAAAATACGGCCAATGGAAACGTCAATTTTGCAAAAACTCCCATATATCGCAAAAAGGTTTTCATGCTCGCATAAGTTGGGTTTTTAAGGCAATGGAAACGTTTTTGTTTTTTTCGCATTTACAGGTTACCTGGCGTACATAAAAATCACATGATCATTCTTTAATGCAGTGGTCTCAAACTCAATTCCTGGAGGACCACAGCTCTGCAGAGTTTAGCTCCAACCAGCCCCAAGTCACACCTGCTTGGAAGTTTCTAGTGATACTGAAGACCTTGATTAGTTGGATCAGGTGTGTTTTATTAGGAATCACATGATCATTCTTTAATGCAGTGGTCTCAAACTCAATTCCTGGAGGGCCACAGCTCTGCAGAGTTTAGCTCCAACCAGCCCCAAGTCACACCTGCTTGGAAGTTTGGAAGTGATACTGAAGACCTCAATTCCTGGAGGACCACAGCTCTGCAGAGTTTAGCTCCAACCAGCCCCAAGTCACACCTGCTTGGAAGTTTCTAGTGATACTGAAGACCTTGATTAGTTGGATCAGGTGTGTTTTATTAGGGTTGGAGCTAAACTGTGCAGAGCTGTGGCCCTCCAGGAATTGAGTTTGAGATCAATGCTTTAATGTATTATAACCTCCAAGAAACACCTCATACGTGGCCACTCTCAAATTTAGGGGCTTTTCTTGCCATTAACGCTTGGATAACCCCTCTGCAGCGCATTAAGGCAGAGCTGACTGTGGCTACTCTAGTCAATGCTTGTGTTTATACCAGCCACGCCGCGGCACATTTCAGAAGTGTCCCAGAAGCGGCTTTCCACACTGCTTTGCTAAAGATACACACCTACGTCTCCTTCAATTAAAGATAATGGCTAGTGCAGTGGCTGCAATAAATGTAAACCTACCAACATTCGTCACTATGACTTATCACAAGGGGAAAAAATTATGTTTTATTTGCATAACATCGGTTAATGGAAACCGTATAAAAATAGTTTTTTTATCGACATTTATATAATATCGCAAAAGTTTGCAATCTGTAATGGAAACCCACCTACTGAGAACTAGATCAGCCTGATTTGTCAACTAATCATTCCAACTGGTTTTGTGAAACGTATCAGCTTTATTAATTTTTTAGTGAACTATTGAGTTTACCTTTGACTGTAGTGTTCAGTATTCATTTGCAAGCTATAAATAACTGACAATACCTCCAACATCTTCTCTAATTTTCTCATTTACTTTTTCCCTGCAATGTCTTTCTTATATGTATTTCCTTCAACCCTTGTTCTTGTCTTTCTCAGTGACTTCTTCACTTGTCTTTCTTCACCTTCATCTCTCATTCCTCTAATACTTATTCTTTGTCCTCCCACTACCAGATGCATCATGTGCTTTGACAAAATGAGACATTAGCATTCACACAGCGTGCTCTGTGCTATCATCGGTGGAACAAGAGAGACATGAATGGAAAAGAAAAAAAAACAGCCACTTCCTGTTTAAACATCACTGCCATGTCAAAATGATGTCCCCACCATTACGCAGTGAGCATGAAAGAGGCGTAGGTGAACTTTTTGAATAAGCTCTATTAAAGGCCTTAGTGACATTGACGGGTGAAAACAGGTGATCTCTGGCTTTCATCTTGGAACACACACACGGCAGCAGTGGGATATGTAGCTTCATATTACAGGAGCATTTTCTGCGATGTTGACAATATGAAGATTTCCAGTGCAAAGCACACTGTTACAAGTATGAGAATGCTAGCTCGGTGTGAACATGCTAGTCAAATTCTCTGCCATTAGATGTCATTTTTTCTTCATTCAGAAATACTGTACTAAATTAAAGCCTGCCTCAGAAGTTAAGATCTACCAGTGTTATAATTTATTGAATGTAATGGGCTGGGAGAAAAAAAATGGCTCTAGCACAGAATGAAAATGCATAAATTATTGTCAACTGTATACAGAAATCCAAGACTGATTTTTATTAGTGGAAAAACTCAGTGGTGTTTGCCTGTGCAAAACTCATCGCCATGATGATAGAGTGTTATGGGAGTTTTCCAGGGTGTTGCTATGCATTTGCAATGGTGTTCTGAGTGTTTTTTAGCACTTTTTTGGTGCAGTTGCTCATTAATTTTTCACCCTCGTGTTGTTCCAAACCCATAAGACCTTCGTTCATCTTCGGAACACAATTTAAGATATTTTTGATGAAATCTGAGGGCTCTCTGCCCCTCCCATTGACAGCAAGGTAACTACCACGTTCAAGGTCCAGAAAAGTACCAAGATGATCGACAAAGTACTCCGTGTAACATCAGTGGTTCAACAGTAAAGTTACGAAGCTACGAGAATACTTTTTTGCGCAAAGAAAACAAAAATAACGACTTTATTCCACATTTTCTTTCGTCTGAGTAATTAATGACAGAATTTAAATTTTTGGGTGAACTAACCCTTTAAAATATATTAAAATTCAAAAATGTAATAATATTTCACAATATACCTTACTGTATTTTACAGTGAGCATAAGAGACACATTCAAGAGAAGGATTAAAAAAAAAACCCAGACCCTAAACTTTTGAACGATAGTGTATGAAAGAGCCTAATTATCAATATCATATTTATGAGTTTACCGGAGTGTTGCTATATGGTTGATTTCTGTGGTGTTCTGGGGGGTTGCTAAAGCATTTCTAGATGATTGCTATTATGATTGGGTTTAATCCTTCAAGGCAAGTCTATGGAAGTCTTTCGCCAGTTTGGCTTAGTTTTTTTGTACACCAGGAAAAATCGTAAGCCTCTCATCAATGAGCTGCATGATTTAAGGTATTAAGTCCACAACACAAAAGCAGGATGAGTTATGCATTTTAGGGTTGGGGTTTAAACAAGAAGAATATGAATCTAAACAAATAAACCACCAAATAAACTCCAACCAACCAAAGAGGGCAAGCAGTCAGAGCATTTTATATATGTGACCCTGGACCACAAAACCAGTCTTAAGTGTAAATTTTTTGAAATTGAGATTTATTCATCATCTGAAAGCTGAATAAATAAGCTTTCCATTGATGTATGGTTTGTTAGGATAGGACAATATTTGGCCGATATACAACTATTTGGAAGTCTGGAATCTGAGGGTGCAAAAAAATCAAAATACTGAGAAAATCGCCTTTAAAGCTGTCCAAATGAAGTTCTTAGCAATGCATATTACTAATCAAAAATTAAATTTTGATATATTTTCAGTAGGAAATCTACAAAATATATTAATTGAACATGGTCTTTACTTAAGGGCCTAATGATTTTTGGCATAAAAGAAAAATCAAAAATTTTGACCCATACAATGTATTTTTGGCTATTGCTACAAATATACCCCAGCGACTTAATACTGGTTTTGTGGTCCAGGGTCACATATGAGCATATGTGTTTGTGTTTGCAACTCACCTCTGGCAGCCCACACATAGCACGACGATGAGGATGGTGACAACGAAGGCTGAGGCGGCGGCGATGGCCCCCAGCAGCAGTACTTTGCCGTAGGGATGAGCAGAGAAGTTCACCCCGTCCTGCATGGAGGCCATGTGGAAGTGCTAACACACACACTTTCACGCTCGCCCTCACACACGCGCACACATATGCACACACACTCTCAAACACTGTTCACAAGATCTGAAAGAGAAAAGTGAAGGTGCTAGAATCAGTTCTTTTGCTTTGTAAAACTAGCCTTTTTCACCCATCAGAGGGATAACAAAAACGAATCATACTCTTTCATTCCTCCCTGCAGCCATTCTCTAGAGTGTGAATGAATGACAGAGAGTGAGTCCCACACTTTCTCTTGTTCTCTCTCTGTCTCACTCTTGTACTTTTATTTTGTCTTTCTCCTTGTGTGTGCCTCCTGCAGGTCTCTCTCTCTTCTCTCCCACAGCGTGTCATTTTCTGCCCACTGACTGTCACTCAGCGTTTGTGTGGAATCATTTGTCTCAGACTCGGGGGCATTTTTCACTTTTCATGCAAAGATTCATGAGCATCAGGTACCTCACCGGTCTGTCGCCGTGAACAAAGCGACAGTAAATGCAGTTGCTGAAAGGCTGAGCTTTTACACTTCACTTTAAAGCCCCTTTCTAAACAGTTACAGTGCTAGAACAAAACACAATATTTTGCTCTCTATTGTATATGACAGTACACTCATGGTCTTGCCCCTTGCTCTGCCAACTGTTAAATTACATTGTTTTTAAGAACACTTGATTTAGTAGAATAACATTAGATGACTAAAATAGTAGCAGGGTTCCATCATAGTAAGCTCATACTGAAAGTGTCGCAGGGCTCGGGAGTCCAAGTGTTCAGCTACTGCTAAATGCGCCATGGGTCCCAGGGGCCAATGTGGTCAGCTTGTGCTGTATTTGCCAGGAGCCCAAGTGTTAAACTTCATTTGACAGTGTCAGGACACACAGCTTGAGGCTTTGGAGGCCCCTGGCAATCCGTGATGAACATGTAGAAACTAATGGCAACAATGTCCAACCTGCTACTGTGCATCATGTATATATATATATATATATATATATGCTCTTCTTTTTTCTATAAGGGACATCGCAGATGACGGTGCAGGAGAACAGCTGCATTGAATTGAACCCATGTGAGGCAAATGTATAGTACAGTCTACACACTTGATTGCGTTATTGCGTACACTTCTCCAATTGTCCAACGTTCTCCATTACATCAGAAATCTTCTGAATAGGCCAGTGCTTTTGAATGGAGAGCAAGTCCTGAATCGTTCAGTCACCTTTTGTTTGCACACACAATCCAGCCTTTATTTTTCAACATGAAGACTTGTACTGCTGGTGGCTGTCCAAGGAATTCTATGGCTATTTCTGACTTACACCTTACAGGCATCATGCATGAGATGAAATACGTGGATTTTGTCAGATAAGGAATTAGCCCAGTTTTAATTATTTTGGCTCTTGGTTTAGTACTATCAAAGGGAAGTAAGTCATGATAAGAGCTAAAAATACCTCACAAGCTCAAGCAAACAACAGCGTGTCGAAATACAAAAAAAATACTAGGACAATGCAAGGGAAAAAAATCTCTTTCATTGTGTCTTGCTCTTTGTCAGCCTGAAAAAAAGGCCTTTTTACTATAATGCAGTTGTCAGAAGTGTAGTGCACATGCATACTTGCCCCGAGTTGCACCTGAATTCCCGGTGACCCCTTTTAAACTGTACACAGGTCTCTTGAGTATGCATCAATGAAAGAACATGCCTGAAGATTAATGAGTGGATCCATCATGCACTGACTCCCTGTTTATACACAGAAAACAGAGACTGTGTTCAAAGGCTGCCAGCTTAAAGTAAGGAAAACTGCTGTGCTAGGCTTAGTTTTAAGTTTTAGTTAACAGATTTAGTTGACAGCACATACACGTGTGTGTGTGTGTGTGTGTGTGTGTGTTTATTTATTTATAGCAAAATCTCCAAAAATGTGCACCTATTCTTAGAGTAACCTGATGTAATGTTGTTGGTATAGGCTATCACCATATCTCCCAACATCTCTCTGTATTTTGTGTTAATGAAGCTCTCGCTGTCTCTCACCTTCACTTTCTCAATCCTTCCCTCCCGACTCTTGTGGCGCATCATGGTTTTAATGATCTGTTTAAACAGGATCTCCTCAGTGGGTGAGCAGAGACACAGTCTTAGGTGTTTGCAGCTTGGTTTCTGAACAGCTCGAGTCCTTTATGTGGTTCCTTTTTAATTCTCACGCACATTTTAATCGACTAAAGGTGTGATCACATTTACCGTTCGGCGAATTAATTCAGTCTTTTCAACAGACTTTAGTCAGGGTAGTGCCATATTTAATTTTTGACAGGAATGAAAACAAGGCTGTGAGGGATAGAAGTACAGTGTGTTCAGTGGATTGTACTGTTGCCAATTGTTCAGCTGATGAAGCATCTTTCCAAAAAGCTTTCAGAAAAAACTCCATAAAACAGTATTGACAATTGTTTTTACATGATCTAAGACACAGTGCAAGAAAGTCTGAAAGCCTTGTTTTCATCCGTTTTCAATGAAATATGGGGTCTTCCCTTATTTTATGTATGTAAGAATCCACACAGTCTGCAATTTCTTGTGAGGACAAAGATTTCCCAATGCAGATTTGGCAAATTTGCTACATTGGGCTGTTGACCAGCAGAAATCTGCTTGGTTTGAAAGTGACTTCTTTGAGAGCTGTGCTTCATACATCACTACACTATTGACAATAATGGATCTTTTTTTGCCAGCAGTTTTGCTGAAACTTCGCTAATGTGGCTGCGCTTTAACTGATTAGTTGGTTGGTTCAAAGGGTCAAGGTTTGGCATTTAAAAGTAACAATAGGTATTCTGACTTAATGCAGTTTTTCAAGGAACGTATCTATTGCTAATATTCAATCATAGTATAAGAGATGTTTTACTCAAAATTTGTCTAGAGTGCCTATGGCATATTTCAAATCTCATTATTGTTAATTGCATTCTTCTCATATCTTTAATGCCTACAGACAAATTAAATGCAAAACGACTGAAAGCTTCTCTCTTTCTCTAGATTGCCTGTTTTTAGCACAATTTGAGTTACTCAAAATACACAGACGTGGATATTGAAACACTGATGACCATACTAAATCCCATTGCGATTTTAATTGGAGGTGAATCTAAATTTTGCTCATGAGCTGCTTATTCGGGTTGCAGTGGTATGACAGAATTTGCTGGTGGCAGCCTAATGGCTTATGAATTGAGCTTTCTTGGTTTCTAGTTTCCCAATCACATGTGAAAGTACCTGATGAACTGCAAAGTTACAAAAATCATCATCTCCATAATGCCCTTCAGCCACAGAGCACTGTGTCCTAACTAGGTCTGATGCAACAAATTTTCACTGTCAAGAAGTTTGTCTGTCCACATTGAACATGAAACTGCTGTCCATTGTGAGGCGATTTGCAAAGGCGATTTGCAAAGATTCATTAAAAAACCTTACTTCTTCTGTAGGTGAAGCTGGATCACGAATGATTTGCGCGAACATAGATGCATTTATGTAGATCGGGGGCGCATTCCCTTCAAAAACAAACATAATCCACTGCATCTTCAGCGGCTCAGATGTCGGGAGTAAATGACGACTGCTACACTCTAAAAAATAATTCAGTGGATCTGTTGCCACTACTTAATTTAATGCATTAGTGCAAGTTAAAAATTCCAATTTATTGATTTAATTAAACATTTTAAGTTTTAAACATTTTTTAATGAGTTGTCCTGATATCTTAATGTTGATAATTACATCAACGTAATACTGTGTGTAACTTCAACTTAAATATCTGTGTTAGTTTGTTTAAAACATTATTTAAGTTGTACTAACTCAATGTAATTAGCTCCATAACTTTTTCAAGTTCACGTTTCAGGTTCCCAGCATGCTTTGCATGTGACTGAATAATGAGTGGTAATGTAGAAATAAACTCATATTTTATGCATTTCTATTCGAGATCAGAACAGGAGAAGATTTATTAATGTTCAGTGTTCGGTT